GGCTAGTACTGGGTCTCTCTCAGTCCGTCCACCGGGAAAAGATGTTACTCCACCGGGTGCTGCACGGCTCGGAAAGTAATAATATCATTGTTCGCGAGCATAGGGTACTGTGGATCGAAGGCGAGCAATCGCTTCTTTCACAGCAGCTTCTATGGCCAGGTGTGGGGTTGGCATAGATTCCCCCACGAATGAAACTTCCGTTGGATCTTGATTGGAGTCTACGGGAGGGATGTGTACTGCTGCCCAATATTCCGAGGTGGAAGGGGTGATTCTCGATTTGAACAGCCCGTACTGGGGTGGCTGGGTAGAACCCATAGCACTGCAGGTAAAGTCCCACAATATTTTGACAAAGCTACCTGGGGTTGCATCTCGGGTTCTCAGATGAATACTGGGGCTCGGCATGATAGGAAAAAGTTGTGAGGGTGGTGCAGAAGGTGTGGGTGCTTGGTAAGGTCACGAGATGGCCTTTATATAGTAATGGAGCTGGGTCATTTCACCATGGTGAAAGGTAATAAATTTGCCAGCTTAGCTCCAAAGGTCGGGTCAGTGTCAGGGATACACATATCTCATAAAGAGACGTGTTACTGTGGTTGTTGTCGAGGTTCGTTTTGGTAGCTGTGCCCGGAAAATATGCAACTATGCGCTGACAAAATACGCAAGGCTACTATTAAAACAGAGGCACAGCGACATGCTGCGTTTATATACAAGGTCGCACGATTACAAAGCGAGGATACACTAAAAATCGGTGCTACTCGCACGGCTTAATCTACCTCATTTATGTCTAAACGGGCGTGCCTGGTGGATGACGAGGCTTCTCCACGTGTCTCACTGCCTGGATTAGTTGGAGATGGCGGAGGAACTGCAGGGTCGGGGTAGCGATGATGACCATCGCAGGGATTGTTGGCCACAATCCCGTTGGAATGTGCTCCCAAAAGGCGACGATGCACCTCTGGGGTCATCAAAGCATCTCGGTTGGTGGCTGGAGCTGATCTCAGGGTTTCGATCGGGTGTCCGAACAGCACGACGGGTTGTCGGCGTCGGGCTCGTCTTCTCTTCTAGCTGGGGGTCAACGAACCAGCTCTCCCCGAGCTACGATCAGATCAATGGTGATCTGGTCGAACAGTGCCTCTAGTGCACTTACATAGCGCACTAGGTGCAACAATGCGGGATCTGTCTCGTGATCTCCGTTGGCAACTTGGGGTGGTCTACCATACCCTTCACGCCTGGGGTAGTAGTAGAACGAGCGACAGTTAACTCTGGGCGACAACTGCCGAAGTTGAACTATAGCCTCTCGAGCAGCTAGCTGGATGGCTTGTGGCTCGAAGGAAGTTGTTCTTCCGGTGAACCTGTAGGGGCGTTCTGGAGATAGACCCCTACCGTAGATGTGCACAGTGGCCCAAAATTGACGGCTTTCACCGCCCATGGGTCCTTGGTACACAATATATTCTGGGGGCTCTTCTAACGCGTAGGCACGACGGGTGAGGTTTGCGAGTATGGTCACAAAACCTCCAAGGTTGGTTGCTGTGGTCTCGTTGTGCATGACGGGGCCTGGCATTATGGCTCGGTTTGGGGTAGAGGCTGTGCTGGGTTGGGGCTAGCGTGCCCTTTTTATAGAAAAAGGGGACGGAGTCTTCCTTCACACGCTTGTGAAGGAGACATCTTGGGCGCTGGTCACTAGCGCGTGATCGACAGGCTAGGTTGATAGGTTGGGCACCGACTGCCAAAAGTGTCGGGGTCACTGTGTGGCTATCTTGCACGAGAAGCTTGGCTGGGGTTTGGTTAAGGTCTGGTGGGTTGGTTTGCCTAAGTTTTTCGACCTGGCTAAGATAGGATTAGCCAATGGTCAGCCTGGCTCTGATACCAAGTCTGTGGCGACCGGTTTTCCGGGTATTAAATTCCAGAAAATGGCCCTTGTGCTCATCAGCCCCAGGATAACTGTTAGCTGATGAGGCACTAACTTGATACAGAAATTCCAAGCAAAATACAAAATATGTAGTACAAGACCATTCTGGCCTGTGAGTACAACAAATGGTTTCTAGTGGTTGATGACAGAAGCGGGTTGTGAGTCATCAGTGTCTATGAGACTCCATTTCCCACGGGAACAGCTGACCAGGTTAACTCCTATCTTCGCGAGGCTGCTATCACCATTGCGTAGGTTCCGGGGCTGTCATCACGGTCGCTCCTTTCCGCGCAAGAAATCTGGCAAAGACAATAGCCAGGGACAAGCCAGTAAGTACTTTGAATGTACTCGCAAACATTATGAACATAGGTATAATATAACAATGAAGTGCTAAAAATATTTTTATGCTCATGACGTCAGTCGCACAAGTTAAATAAAACTCTGATGCGTACAAGCATGTTAATTAAGAATATGCAATAACATAGCAGTATTAAGATTTATGAAATAAATAACAAACATGCCACAGTCGGGCGTCTGAGCGACACCACATAAAGGGCTTTAAAAGAAATGCCACAGTCGGGCGTCTGAGCGACACTACATAAAGGGCTTTAAAAG